TTGAATAATGGTAGGAAAATGGCTTTTTTCTAAATATTATTTTCCTGGACAAACAAAGAATGCTAGGTGAAAACATACATCGCCACGATGCTCAGCGTGTCCGAATACCCCTGTTTCGAGTCATTTCAGGTCGACCACGTACCTAGAACTCTGAAAACGGGTGTCTCCGGGGCATCGATATGGCTCCCAGACGGTGAGTTCTAAAAATCTGCGGATGGTCTTAAACGAAAGAGGACACTTCACTCTATCATATGAATGAAAAAAAAGCTCGGGTCAATATGTAAGTTCATGCAAATCCAAGATGGTCTTTCAAAGATCTCCTGAAAAAGCAGGTTTGGAAATTTTTTCAGAACTCGTTTCCGCTTGTGAAAAGAGGGGCTCAAGTGTCTTCTTTCTAACAGTGGAAACCGCAGGTCTCTATCTATCTTTTGTGAGAAGTTATTCAAAAAGCGACACACCGCACTGTATTTTGGAACGGATAGTAGGTTTAGTTTTAAGCTAAGAACAAGACTTTTAATAGAACTTCTTCCAATAGTAACGCAATCGATCAAGAACCTAATTTGTTTCACTTGAGGTTCCTTTCCACGACTGAAGGAGCTCATGCATGATCTTTTCAGCGTGGGAGAATGTTTCGCAAAAGCTATGAATAGCGCAACATTTAAACAAGAATTTTAAAACGCTCACTAATACTGCTCTTATTTTACATCAAAAGTGTTTTTTAATAATGCCACTGAGGTTCCAGATGTGTACGCAGAGTTATACTTACAATTGTACGTGACATTTTCAGTACTGTATTCAACATACAATATTGCACTAGATAACCAGCCGCCAAATATAATTGTTATTATAAATATCACTGCCATAAGGGTACTATATATTATAACATTATAAGATTCTTCTGGCCACGCTACTTCTCTTATCTTCCTCATAATTGTATCTGAAGGATATACAATTATTTTATCTAAAACGAAACAAGTGTATGTTTAAAATTATTAAGTTGTAATTCACAGAAAAGGAGCTCAGTATCATATACTGTGTTCCTGAAAAGAAACTTCACAGATGGTAATCATGTTTGTGTTGAATCAGATTGAAAGCACAATTTATTGCAATGTCAACTGAGTCTTAGCTAAAGCCCATTGAGATAGCTCAATAAATTCTATTATAACTGAGAAAGTACGTGTGTTTACGTTAAAGCCACTGTAGCTCTTCAAAGGAATCGACTAATCTTCCATCTAAGTTACATAATAAGGTTGGGGAAAGGCAAAAGTAGAGCACTTTTAACTTTTTTGATTTTCATATATCATCTGATCCAGTTTTTTACGCTGAATCCGAATATGCATAGTATGTTCAGAAAAAACCTTTTTTTGTGGTCAAAATCTCGGGAAAATCGAAAATTTGAAAAACCTCATTTTTTTGGAGAAAAGTGACTGGTGCTCCTAAATCAAAGATGATAGACTTTTGAAAGTTATTTTTTCTTAACCTACGTGATAAACTGATTCTAAAATATTTTAGAAAACACGTATCAACCTTACACGATTAGTCAGTTCAACGAAACCATCAGGTTTTGTTTACAGAATAAGAAAAAGAATCGATAGTTTTTCTTTTTCTCTATTTGTCATCTATTCAACATTCCCTGCATTTATATCAAATGCTTTTAATTTTCAACTGCTAAGTATTAGAATTGTAACCGTACATATTTCTCTTTCAATTAATGCAGGTGGTGATAATAATGATGTAACAAATGAAAAAGATGAAGATCCAAATACAGCATTATATATTACCGATGATTATATGTTACTTCCAGGTGGAAAGCAAGATCATATGACCGATATCAATACGTTTATGATCGTCATCAATAATGCCAATCCATTTTTTAATCCATCACAAGATGTTTACGACAGACCACATGTTTATAGTCAAACATTCAAACGTCACATTGCCGTTGTGTGAGTAAACCGTCATTTATATCATTGACTACTAGATCCGGAACCGTCTAAAAATTTTACAAATGAATAACATTTCTGTTTGCATCAGACAAACAAAGCGAAATAAATTCGGCAGTTATGATCGATTTGACTTGAGCATTGAAAAGAAAAGCACATGTTGACTCTATCCTAACTGTATTATTGTCATATTTCAGGATGGTTTTATGGTTAAGAACTGCCCAATCAACCGGAGGTAAAGTAACTCGGAATAATTATACTTGGCCATTTTACAATGTGTGTTATTCAACGGCTGTGTTGAAATTTCTCTATAATCCACCACGAACAAATTATACGCCAAGTCAACATCTTCCGTCATTTGCTCGCGATGAATACTGTTTGATTCATGGGATGAAATTAATTGACGACAAAGATTATTATCTACGTAATCGTCTACGTGGTGTATTCAACCAAGTTAAAAGTAAGATTGCTGAATATTGTGCAATGTTGGAAAAAAATCAGAATCCAATGGCGAGTAGAGGATCAAGAAAATTCAATCCTTACTCACAATGTAAAAATTATTTGTTTGGGTTCAAATATGACTAACTACTTTCATTTTTTTTCTGGATTGTGAAAAATCAGATATGACTGATTTATTTATCTTTGTTTCTATCTCTCCTTTACCTGTTTTGTGACGTCACTTTATTCGGTGAACTTTTCTTCTAATACATTTTTCTCACATAGTTGTAATTATTCTTTACCGTCTCTACTTCCTAATGCGTTAAGTTTCTTGTTTATTGTAAAATTTGTCAGTGTGTTTTTTGGTCGTATTTACTTATTTATATAAATTAGGACGTACAAGTTTTACGTTGAGCACTAAAAGCACTTGAATGTTTGATAGAGAAGATGAAGATATAGCTTTGTTCTTGGATTACGCGTGCATTTATTACTTTTTTTCTAGACCATGACTTCAGCTTCCTTTACGCCAATGAAAAGAGTCGTGTTAGAAATAAATGAGAAAAACAAAGCATTTCCGGTGAAGGTTGATAATAATTCGAATATCTATCATCAAATTACCATCGGCGTTGCTAAATATGGTGCTGATTTAACGAATTATAGTTTATGTTATTCTGATCAAAACAATAAATGGATAGATATTGAAACCGACGATGATATCCGGTATGGTTTGGATTTTTTACGTGACCCAACCACAATACCTTTAAAATTGGTGCCAAAACACCCTGTTAGTGCCACCGCACCTAGCAATGGTGAGGAAAATAAAACTTTTTATTTGTAAATTTATTTTGTCATCAAATTAAGGTCAGGATCCTGGCGTAAAAACAACAACAGCATCATATATTTCCAATCCGTTGGTTGTTGCTTTGAAAGGAAAACATGATCAAAATACAACAGCAGCTGATTCAGTGTCAACAAAAAGAAAAACAATTCGTTTTGAGTTCGTATTCATGTCCTCTAATATTATTGATATATTCGACAAGCAGAAAAGCGATAATGATTGGTTTAAGGGATATGTTATACCATTAGATCTGCATCGAAAATGTAAATAACAGAGGAGAATCTTAGTTGATTATTCTAATTAGAAAAATTGTTGTTATCGTTCAAGTACGCGTTCGTTTAAATTTTTTCTAGTGGGTGATGATGATTACAAACGTATTGAGTTTATGATGGTAACATATAGGCCACGTTTTCCAATATGGAGAGTTGCTCATTTAGAAACAGTAACAAAATGGTTATTGGAAGCAAATAAACAAAATTTGACTGAACCGCCAAGTGACGAAGTGTTAAATCAGTATGCATTAGCACACCAATTAATTACTATTGATACAAATTTGAAATCATTTGTTACACGCATGCTGATTGAAATGCGTACATGCACATTTTGTGGAAATTTAAGTGATTTGCAAAATCGATTAAAAACATATGAAATTCATGTAAGTGAAGTGCGCGTCTTGATTAATAAACAAACGTTTGCTCTTTAGGTGTTTCCACAATTGAAAAATTATATTAATGTTGAAATGCAGCCAACAATCGATGGATCAGAAGGTCAAATAGCGGTAGATGATGGTAACAATGGTTTTTGAACGAAAAAATACTGTATAATAGAACTTCTAACATTAAGTCGTTTGTAGTAGAATTTGTCTGTTTTTCTATTGTGATTTTTGTAAGGAAGATAAAGTTTGTTTTCAATAAAAAAACTGATTCAAAGAGATGTTATATTTCTAATTTACCGATCAAAACTAGAGTAGTATAACTTAAACAAGAAATCTATTTATAGTCCAATAGTAGTTTCTTTTTTCAGATAAACAGATGTGATGAACATCGAAAATGCTGCCGATCCTTCTTGTATAGAAGATCTTATTTTGAGTGCAGCTTTAGATGAATATATTAAAGAACATGGTAATGAAATATTGAATAACACATGCGAAAAATACAAGTCAAAACGTCCATATTTATCAAAACACACAAATTTAGCATCGCGAATCGAAAGTATATCATCACAAGAAGATTTATTATCGTTTACCACGAATGAATGTGAATATTTAGTCGGATTACTAGAAGTCAACGAAGAACCTGAACCAAATGCACAGGGAGAAGATGATAAGTGGAAAACACTATTAATGCTGGATTATAGGAGGAAGCAGATTAATTATGAAAGACCACTCAAATTCAAATTAAAAATGTTGGCTATTTGTCCCTTTCGTCCTTTCTTATTGACTGTCGAAATGTATCATTTAAATGATTGTAACAAAATTTTCGATTTAACTCCATTCAACCTGGTGTTTATTATGCTTAGCGCTGGGTATTATCGCAAGCAGTCATTAGCCCGATCATTTTATGTGTCTCAAGTGCTATTTGATTTCGCTCTTTGTGCTAATAAGGATAATCCGATACTTGATGGACTATTACATTATGATTATCTTCACAAGTATTATACGTTTTTACAAACACAAGTCTATGAGAAAAGTGGTACTGGCGTTAAGACTTTTTTCTCGACAGCAACTATTATGAAGCGTCTAATCTCTTTAACATACGGTTTAGATCTTATTGAATTAATACATGGTACATATGATCCTCAGTTTGAAACAGAAGTAAGTACTTTGCCTTCTAAAGCCATTCAGAGCACAACAGAATCAGTCGCTGTAGTTTTTTGCCAAAATATAATTAAGTTATAAGTCAATAAAAAAGTTGTTTTTAACATGGCTCTGCTATTGATGTTTAACTTTATTAATTATCTGTTCAAAATCTGATATTTAGGTGAAAAGTCAACTTATTCTAGCTAGAAAAATAATCCTCGGTTTTGTAAATTATCAAGCAAAAATCCAGAAAGCGAATGAATCAGCGTTAGCAATCACAAGAAATGCTAATTTCAAGTATGTGTTCATGTATGTTAGCGCGTTCTATATTTTGTAATTTAACTGCTAATTTAGAGATGACGTGAAATGGTTCAAACAACTTCTGACAATGTTAGCTGACAAGAGTCTACATAATAGCATACTGCATGACATTGAAAGTCTACTGCATCGAGGTTTCAATATCCAGACATATCTTCGTTTGCAAGATTATTGCATGTTCAAGACCGTCTTGGTGAGTGAATCCTCGGTTATTCGTAGTTAATTTCTTCTGAAAAGGCTGAGAATCGACTGCAACATTTAGACGGAATAAATGACAATACGATTACGGACAGTCACACATAGTTTTTGTTATTCATGCCGAGAAATAATAGCTTTTTCACACATCTAAAAACTTCAAACTCATCTGACTTGATTACACACGGATTTTTACACCTAGACTTTTGGCTTTATTCAGATATCCGGTTGTCGTTACAGCACCCTTTTACATATGAGTGTAAAGGAATTTTGTTCTGGGACATATTTACGAGCAACTCGATGGTATCAAATTCATGTTCACAACAACAAGCAGAAATCATCCATGCTAATTAATATGCCAAAGGACTCGTTCGAGATCTTATTCATGTTGCTGCACTGTTTTCCTGCTATCAAGAAAGGACGATGGCATTACGCCAACTTGTTACGTCAGCAACACTATAGTAAACAACAAAAGTTAAATCCAGTATTAAATGATATATTATTGAAACATCTTCGTTATAAAACCTTTAGTGATGATAAACCAGTAGAACTTGATCTTGTATGTACATTGTGACAAAGGGTGCTTTTTGCGGACATGAAAAATTATTCTTTTTCTTTGTTGTTTAGCATCAACTTAAAGACGTTAAGTCAAATGATGCTGACTATCTAACAACTGAAATGATGAATAACATCAACGAGTTAAATGCTGAATTGATATCGACTTGTGGCGCAATGGGTCTCATTTTGAATGGTAAACTACAACCAGCTAAATCAATTGACTTGCGTAAAATTTTATTTTATTGGAAGAAAAACTTACCAAATTGGAACGAAGCAGCAGTCGGGAAAGCACAAATTAGACGATTTACCAGTCGATTTTATCGAGTATTCCTATCCATTGTAATAGCACCACATCTCAATGATTTCGAACGAACACTTGTTGCACAATTTCTTGGTAAGTTTGATCACCTCTATGACATCCGCCAAGCCTTTTTTAAACACTGTGGGCTATTATGATTGTTGTGGACCCTTTTATGCTTTATTTCTCATGTCTTTCCATTAACTCGTAGTCAAACGATTTAAATAAGTGTCTTAGTCAGCTTTATAAAAGATAGATTCGACGTATGAGATTTTATACCATATCGTTTTGCTTGATTCACAATTTTCAAAAATTGTAAAGGGAGGATTCTGGCAAAAAATTGAAACGAATCCAACGTTTATTATTCAAGGTGATTTATATAAATAGGTCATGGAAAACTCATGCATATTGGACAGTATGAAACGGTATATGGTACAGACACAGTCGAACATATTGGTGCAAGAATCGTCAATATTATGTCAGACCATCCCGATAAACCGACCACACTACAACTATGTATCGAAGAAGCTTTGAGTGAAGAGATCAACGATGATATGCCGACTGGAGAAGAGCCAAGACCTCAGAAGCAATCAATGTTTATGATGCTAATCAATCAAAATGTTAATATCGATGAAAAGTTTGAAAATTTTATCACCATGATAAAACAAAAAACACAAATAGTAACAGAAACGACAGTTACTAACGTTGACATGCACTATCACGTAAGTAGCAATTTTACTTTTTCTTAACACCTTTAAAGAACCATATTTTGTTTACTTAGACTGCAAATGGGCAACGTACACTGAGCTATAACAGACCGCAAATGGAATGACATCAAAGAAGAAGTTAAAAACAGTGAAATGCTCAGTAGTTCCAGCACTGACAAAATATCTCTTTTCTTTTTAGCTTTGATTTTAGAAAAACATTCCTTTTTTTCTGTGTATTGCTGTATACCACTATTATTAAGTAGTACTTCAATCGACCATGTTTTTTGTGATACAATATTGCAGTGTTTTCTTTTTCAAAATTCTGCATTCATCGCAATTTTCTCTTGTTTGTCTTGGTGTGTTTTTTGATTATTGCTCTACATTTGTATAGTTTTTCTTTAGTAAATATACACATAAACGTTCGTTTTTTTTTCTGGTATCCTTTTGATCTGAAATAACATCAATGAACAGCTAAGTATACATTTACATACAAATGGTTTAGTTTAATTTCGAAATTTTCTTCCTAGAATTTTCTTTTCCTAGAAAATAAAATAGTACTTTTATTTATCAACACATGCATTGTTAGCTCTGTACTCGAGAAGCGATAATCTGAGTACGAACAAAATATTGCTGTAAAAAATATTTTTTGTTTCAAAAGTAAAATGCATCAGATGCTAGTTAATGGTATAAGTGAAGTACCGTTGATAGAAAATGTGATAACAATTCATGCTACAGAAAACATTTCATATATTTCGCCAAATTATGATGTCAGACGGATACACTGTCAACAATCTTGGATGCCACAAGAACACTACAAGCAAGTTTAATGTCAGTTAGGTTGAAGTACCATATCTTATGGAAGTCTGATTATTTTAGATTATTGCTGGATTTCTATTTCGCCAGACTTCAATTGGATAATATTCACCAAAAAACCATCAAAAATATTCTAATGCAGCGTTTATCCAGTCTCAATGGTGCCAATAAAAATTTCCCAGTATATAATATTCCTTACTTACCATTAACGATGGGA